CGGTATGCGAACTTCCTAGCCTCGTCGTAGATCTGCGTGGCGAGCTCGCGCGTCGGCGCTAGCACTAGCCCCAGCGGGTACTGTTTGCGTCGGTTGTATGACCTGCAGTAAAACAATTAAATTAAGGATACTGCATCTTTTCTAGTAATTGATTCAATGAAAACAAATTAGTATAGTCGTATAGTATAAGTCATCTAAGATAGAAAAAAGCAGACAATTCCCTTTAGGTTAGATTTCTTTTTGAGAATGCATTATTAATGTGGTATGCTGTAATGAGGTACTTACGCCTGTTTGACGGGGCCGGCCTCGTATATCTGGTTGAGTATGGGCACGAGGAAGGCGGCCGTCTTGCCGGAGCCGGTCTGCGCGCACGCCATCACGTCGCGGTGTCCCAGCACGATGGGGATCGCGTACTTCTGCACCGGGGTCGGCTTGTCGTATCGCGCCAACATTATGTTAGACCGCATTATTTCCGTCAGGTTAACATCCTCAAACTGTAAAAAGATAGATAAGCTTTGTACATCTTGCAGTTTTGGACAGGTCTATAGAGCTACAGATGTTCAATTCCGACAGTTTTATCATGTGTAGGCAAAATTATAACTGTTAATTTCTTTTAAACCTGTCAATTAAATATGATTTTTTGTAGGCTTGATGGTTTCCGTGTTTTATTAATTTCTAAGTCTTTTGATTCATTGTTTTAGTAACAATAATTGAGGCTTACGCTGGTAATGAAGTCCGGCACACGGTCACCGCTGGCCTCCACAGGAATATCCTCGTACTTGGAGAAGTTGATGCCCGTATTGCCGGTGCCAAAGAGCTCCAACTCCTGCCGCTCGTCGCGAGGTAGCGGGATCGTCCAGTCGTTCTACATATTATAACATCACTAATTAGCAGAGGAAGACCCTATTACTTGATACATGCATCTGTGCATAATGGTACTCATGATATTTTGCATTTAATGTTTCCGAATTAACTAGCGATCATAAATACAATTTTATAAGTAACCTTATAAAATTGTCTTGTTTTTAAATTCTTCAGCAAAATATAATTAAAATAATGGTTTGAAAAGCACATAGAATATTGAATTTATATTCGAATACCGCAACCCGATTTGTAGCTTCCCCTCCCCTGAGCTACATCAGCTATCAAATCTGTTACACGAGGTAATAGTTGACACGGTCCACGCAATTATACCTCCTGCAAAAATACAAGCAACCACGCCAAACATATACATTAAACAAATTGGGGAACAATACAAACAGTGAATTCATTAATTTGAATAAGTTATAACTCACGCGTGTAACAGTATTTTTTTCTGTATATAAGTCATTTTTATACTCGCCAATTTGGAAACAACAAATAACAATAGAATTTATATGCAGTTATTAATAATTTTATAGAAGGCTAATGTTAGTTAATAAATGATTTTAAGCATGTTAAATGAATGACATGAAAGTCAAAGGCGAGAAGGAAGTATATTTTACTGATTTAGTGCAGATGAATGATGATTAGTGGTAGTGTAGTAGTAAAGTTGTATAAGTTAGTATGTAAGAGGCGTGTGACCTCATCCCTGCGGGTGCGGCGCACGTCGTCGGAGCCCCAGCCGTGGCTGCGTGATGGTGCACGGTCGTCCTGGCGCGGCTCGGGCTCCTTCCAGCGGTCGTTGCGCGGCGGCGGCGGGGGCTCCGCGTCCTCGCGCCCGCGTCCGCCGCGCTCCCCGCGCACCTCCCGCTCCCCGCGCTCGCCGCCCCACCGCTCCGACTCCGACTCGCCATTCTGATAGCTTGCTTCACGACCTGACATCACAGATTGAGAGTCAAACATTTGCATTTACTAATATTTTAGCAACTACAGGTTAGAGGTGCTGATACAATATACACAAAACATCAAATTTAATTATTCAAGTATTAAAATACTTAATATCACTTACATTGCTCTGTGTTAGCATGAAAAAGAAAAAAGCATTAAAACGGCTTAATTAAAAAACATATTAAAAAATACTTGTAGAACCCACGAATTCTTAAATAAACATTTAAAATTGTATCACTCTTTATGTTTTGTTATTCATAGAAACTTCTAGATTATAAGCAAGAATGTATTGGGTAAATGTGTGTGTTTGTGTGACTGACCTCGTTCCCTGCGCGGGTAGCGTGAGTCGTACCCGCGATCGTAGTCCCTGGTGTCGCGATCGCGGTCTCGGTCGTCGCGGCGACCACCGCGCTCGTACGTCCTAGAGTTGCCGCCGAATGATGTACGGATGTCACGAGACTCGTTTGGACGAGCCTCTAAGCTTTGACGCTTAGGCTCTTCCCCTGCAATAAACATAAATCCATATTATACAGCTCACCCGACAGACATCACTCTGTTTTAACTATGAATACTGAAGTTGAAATTATCTGACAGTGGACATGGGTAACTCAACTAAATTGATGATGTGCTCAGCTCAGAGTTGGCATGGCTGAAGCTGATTTGTGAATCGGCTACCAGATCAGCTCATTTTGTACCTGTATGGAGGTATAATTTGCGTCAGTTACAAGTCAATGGTTTATAATCTGATGCGTCGAACTGTGAGCTGCTAATAGTTGTTGAACCAGAGATCAACGATGCCAGGGTGTGGGAGCTGATCTTTAAATCTTTAGCAGATAAAAAACTGAATATTGACCCAGCAGCAGAATTACCAATTTCTATGATATTAACCGAGCACAATGTAGAAACTTATATGTATAGTAATGTGAAGTGTGATGTATTCCTGCCATTAATATTTGCAATGTAATTGTAATTCAACTCAAGAGGTCACATTACATGCTCATGTTCACACATAATGAATGTAAATGTGTAAATCACATTTACGGTTGCATAAAAATGTATAACAACATTTATTATTATTAATAGTGTATGGTTACATATATTAAAAATTGTTGAACTGACTTATTACAAATGCAGTGTTTTAAACATAAAATAAATTAGTATAAGTATTAAAAATACTTTAATACTAACAAAATTTAATTATATAATAAATTTATTATTATAGTTCTTATTCATCAAAGATATTTGCATCACTAGTAAATATTATTTTTCAACAATAAACAATAGCCAGGTTAAACAAAGCATCACAACATAATCCTGTATATATGAGTATAATAGAAATTACATGTACAATGCTATTTACTTATTAAAAAATAAACTTATATATGCCATAATAAAAAAAAATCAATACCATAATGTTAGAAACAAACTCATTGTACAAGATCTATGATATTTTAAAAATTGGATCTAACAATGAGATTGGTGAATTGCATGTAACTAGGAGAATGTTAGTTATGAGTGTGGAAGGGTACACCTTTATAGGTAGACATACAAAGAGATGGATGGATTGAATGAAAGGTAACATGACCAAGAAGGGAGTGATGACTGAGATGTCCTATGATAGAGTTATGTGGACAAAAACCTGTTGCGCCAACCCTATGGGAGTAGGATAAGGAGAAAGATGATGATGACGATGGATATAGTGAGATTAGTTTATGATTTAGTAAGATATATTTAAAAATATACTGCCTGTCTGCCATAGCATAGTAGCAAATATTAAAAAATATATTATCTATTGACAGAGGAAGTGTTAAGTTGATAATACAACCCTGATTCATATAATCTCAATGACCTACTTTAAGTTTATATGAAAATTTAATAACATTTTTATACATATGCATTGACATATAATTTAAATTTTACAAACATTCTGAAAGATCGAAAGAAAAGTATTTTTATACAATTGCAAAATAGCTACATATTGTATAAGTATATATGACTGAAATCCAATATTGTTGTATATGTTTTGATGAAATTTTTGTTCTCAATTACACCTGGATGTGATGTCGATAATTTTTCAAGACTCTTTTGTCAAATTATAAAAACCTACGGTATTACCTTAATATAACACTATTTAAACCCATGTTTAAACTCTTTAATGTATATTATATAAATATATTTCCATGCACAACTTCATTTGCTGCATAAAAAACCAGGACACTGCACGAGGCACACTTCAAACTGACCAAATATATTGAAAAGCTTGTATATCAAGCTGTAACAATTTGTTTACCTTGAGAAGTGTTGGCCTGTTGCAACTGCCTACGCAGATGCGGAGGGATGTATCGGCCAGCACCCTTAGAAGCCTGAGGCTGCAAGTCCAGACCAGCAAGCTGCCAACATAATTTAATTTATAAATATGTAACAAACTTGGTTGATTCAGCTACAATTAACTATTTCGAAATGTCATCTTTTTATTTGGTATCAGGATCTACCAACTGTTGCTTTCAATAACAATACAATAAACAAACCTTAGTGAAGGTAACAAGAATTTCATCTTAATGTAACGTGCATAGATATATGTTTTATTTGTATGACATTACAGATCAATAACTACCATGAAGGAAAGGCTTTTAAAACAATGTGCCAAATTTTGTAATAGCAATCAATTAAATGTTAAAAAACACAACTAAACAATTTAGAATCATTACAACCCAATATTTGTCTTAAATTCAGTGTAAATTTTAATAAATCAAGCTGAAAATTTCCACGAATGGTGACACGCAAATTTACCGTGACAGCCAATTCGCAGTAATGTAATGTCAAAAATAACGCTCAAAATGCTTGTTTTATACAATACAGGTTTATAATTAATGTGAAAATGGAAAGCCTATAAAATCAATCAGATACCATAGAAGAATCCAAGTCGCCATGTTGGTTACAACGAGACACGTAAAGAAAGACTTTATAAATGAAGGGACTATATTATTCTTTATGAATTAGATACTACATCATTTTTTAAGGTAAATTGAAAAAATATTCAAGAGATATTAATAACTTGGCAAATAAAGAGAAAATCAATACAAAGCACTAGTACATGAGGTACCGACCTGCTGCTCTAGACCTGTTCCATTTTGGTTGGTAACATTACTCATATTACTACCAAGCGGTACGTTTTTTTGGCAACGTTGCTTCAAAAATACTATACAAACAAAGTCTACAATGAATTTTGCACAAACACAAATTCACAAAATCACATGAAAAAGCGACAATTTTTCTCCCCGAAAACACTTTTCATTCGCAGTTTTTGTTCTTCTTCTCGGATAGATTTTGTCTTTGTTCAATCGTTCACTACTCATTCAAAGATATTCGTACATTTCATTCCAAATGAATGTTACCATTAATATAAACATTTTATTGCAAAGCAATCTTCTTAAACATTTAACGGGAAAAAAATGTATTACGCCAACAAAACGCTGCACTTAATATTTATCTTTTAACTATTGTATTGGTTCACAGAGAACCAGTAACAACATCAAGATTAGACTTTTTAATGACATTAAAAATTGACACTGACATTGACTGACGTGATATGACAATCATGACATTACCACTAAACGTCAAAAAAGTTTTGTTTTGGTTAAATATTGAAGAAAATGTTAGTGTTTTTAATATACAAGATCATTTAAAGGCAAGGCAACACTTTATTTTTAAATCAATATGTTCTTTATAACCTATAATAAATAATAAAATAATAGTCACTGATGCGTAATGAGGGTACTACATTTCAGGGCTATTATGAACTCAGAAGTCAGCGATATTCATCATCCTAATGCTCCTCGGCAGCGCCATCCCCCGCCTGAGCCGAGGCCCCGTCAATCGCCTCCAGAACCTAAAAAGGCGACAGCACAATCTCCACCACAACCTCGGGAACGGCAACCACCACCACAGCCCAGGGAACGGCAACCACCACCACAACCCAGGGAACGGCAACCACTGCCACCACCAAGAGAGAGGAAACCTCCAACACAACTTTAATTGAGGAATCCTCTCATCATTCTTGAGACAACAACCTCTCTTTTTTATCTATCTATAAATCTGATTAAACACTTAGAAGCCAATGGACATTTACCATAATGACTGGTTCATACTTTACTAGTACAGTAGCACAGGCTTGGCATGGATTGTTTGGACTCATTGGCACCAACCGGTGTTCTCATTATGCCAGTCCAGTTATTGAACACTACCTTCCAACTGTACTGGCCAATTCTAAACCAGGCACAAGATCTAACTCCAATAAGAATTACTAATATGTCCCATTGATAACCAATTAATACTTTTCATGTCACTATGATTTTTTTTTGTTAAAAATTACACTTGCTACATGAGTCAGCGGCCTGTCAGAATTATTCTAAGTATCTGTCCATGGAAATAGTTTTAAATGAAACAAGTTACGATTATGATATACCAGAACTTTTAAATTTAAAATAGAGTTATGTTTTTATATTTATATATTTAATGTGGAGTTCCCTTGCACCAGGGTATTAATTTAGTTGATTAATGAGTAACTAAATATATCTGAAAAACAAACATTTAGTTGAGTTGATTTATGAATCTTTTAGTTGAGTCATGTGACTTTGTTCTGTTTTTTTTTGTGTGTATCACCTGTGATACTAAACTGCTAAACAAGTGTAAGCCTCTAGTTTTAGTAAAGTTCATTGTAAACATTGACTTGAATGTTTAATGTATCTAGCAAAACACCACTTGCTTGTCTACTGTACTGGCATGATATTGGGAATAACTGCCAGTAGTCCAGATTTTAGCTAATAAACTACACAGTACTCAACTATTAACTTTGTGTGCATTGGATAAAGAGATTTTTATTGCATTTGCATGCATGCAACATACACATTTTATACTACATGTTAAGAAAATAAGAATATTTTTGTTAAATTTTTTTTTTAATCTAGATATAAGATGCGAAGAAACTTTTCTAACAGTCTTGTGGGGGGGGGGGCAAACCGGGAAACGTGCACCGGCCAATACGGCAGCATGGAAGTCAAAATATTTAAAAATATCACGCAAAAGATATCCAATTTGTATAAAATCGTGTAACAACGTATATCTTTAGAGCCGTCCGGATATCCTCGTGTGGGCGAAATGACCGGAAGTCGACGTTTGGCCTTAGTTCAGACGTCTGATATCATTCGTGTATAAAATCCACGGCTTGACGCACAGTTGCTACGAATTGGTGCAAAATGTTAAAAACAATTGTAATATTGTTACTGGTAGCTTTAGTGTATACAAGATCAATCGGGCCTCGTTCAATGATGCAAGATGATGTTATTGTTCCCGAACCTGCGGTGATTATTAGAAACGTTGCGTTTGACGACTCGCCCGACGGATATAATGCAGACACCAACTGTCCAGATGGTTTCTTAATGGATTTCACGGGAATTTGTAGAGAAGTATGGTGATGAACAACTAAACACGAGGAAATGGCGAAAATTGTCGAACCGATTCATGTATTACTACTGTATTTAATTAACTTTGTACTTTTGTAATTGATATTCCGTTCCAAACTAAACTTACAAATTGGAATTATACCAAGGAATCTTCGATAGTTAACCCAACAAAATTAGAAATGTGTAAGTAAAAAAATGTATTGTTTCATGTTCTCTTTTATATAATTAAAAAAGATAATCTCGTTAACTTTGTGTTTAATTCTCAAGTAAACCAGACGACGAATTTACCAGCATATCGTGTAATGAAGGATCACTCGTAAGTCGTAGACAAATATTGTCGTATACAAATAAATATGCAATATCAACAAAAAATCGGTATATTTAAATCAAAGTACAATTACAGCAGTCTCTCAATAAACTTCCAAGTGTCAAGTTGGTTGAGGTAAGGGTTTGCAAAGTCGACCACAAACTCAGAACCAAAGTTAGAGATGGCGCCTCGGAAACGGTTTATGTAGTCCACAACAACCTCTTGTATCATTGTATTCACTATTACATCGATATCACCACCGCCAATAGCTCCGCTCACATTTGACTACAAAAAAATGAAATAGAACCATTAAGAAAATAAACAAATTTTACGTTGTCGCTTATGTTTAAAGATAACAAAAGTTTAAAAAACTAAAAACACTACAGTACAAATAAGCAATGATAGATAACCGAATAACATTAATTATTTTTTTATTTGCTTCAAACTTTACCTTAAAAGATGGAAGTTCAAACGATGCGCCTTCGATTCTGTCAATGATAATAGACTTCTCGTTGTCCGATTGCTTTAGGTAGATTTTTGCCCGCAAACGAAAACTCTCTATCTGGAATCTTTAATAAAAATCAAACTTAATGCAGTCCTTACTGAATTTAAAACAAATTTTCAACTCGAAGTTATAAATACTTACGCTGCATTCCCTTTGCCATAAAGCGGTATTGCATTAAATAAATCGCCGGTGAAATCGTAGATTTCTGAAAATTACAAAAACAACATTTAAGTTTGGTTTTTAAAATCGGTTGTTTCACTACAAACGAACGTGTCATCCTTTTCTTTCTCTTAAAAAATACCGAGATAACAATTTGTGAAAACTCACGATTAATTACGAATATTTACCTGTACTGATATCCAGTTTAGGTATAGATAAATCGAGATCGAAGCTAAGTTCGCGGAGGCTGAGCTCACTCTTGTGCACTACAAAGCCACCCAGGCCGGTCATGTAGATCTTTTGAAGGTCTAGGTCTAAGCTGCAATAAAACAAAAAAGAAATTACATACCATCATTTGTTTTAAAAGTATTAAATACTGTTATCAAACAAACTACTGGTAGATCTTCCAACAGCACTAGATGTTTCTGTAATATATAATCCGATTACTACATTTCCTTCGAGTATAATCGTAATTTGTAACAGATGACGCGTTTAGCATTATGTATCGCTGTCCAAAAGTAACCCTATCTGTAACAATTATACTGACTTGGCTATCCCAGCTGGTATTTGAAGACGGAAGCTGTCCAAGTCGAGAGGGTCGAGTGGCGGGAGGCCGAACAAGTCCGAGCCGTTGTTGATCACATTTCGGACGTACGCGATCAGTTGACGGATGAGCAAGTTGATCAAGAAGTTACGTTCACTGGTCGACACCTCAGACAGCGACTCTATAATAATAAATAATATAAAAATATAGATAAAATAGGGCAACGGAGATTAATTTAACTAACAAATTAACGCATAATATTCTAACAAATTAATTTTACAAATTTGTATTTAGTGGTAAAAAACATACAGACGAATTGAGTACCTCCTTCTTTTAGGGACTCGGTCAAAAACTGAACCAACTTACCATACTGAACTTCTTTTCTTGTTTTTGGCAATGCTGCGGCGAGCGCGCAGAGTGTTAACAATATTAACAATTTCATTCTGAAATATGTGGAAACATAAACATTTTTAATCGTAATAAATTAAGTTGCTCCCACCTGTAAGACTATAAAGCTGCGTAAACAAGAACTAGGAACATGCGCTATAGACCTATATATCTAACATTGTAAAAATTAAATCACGTACTTATGTTTTTATCAAACCAAGTATCCGATCATATCATGCTGCATATCAATACATTAAATGTCCTTTGTTACTTCCTTGCCGGTAAGGATTGTTGATATACGTAGAATAACACTTCCGGTATTGATACTTTTGAGATATTTAATATTATGATGAACGCATTATGTCAGTAATGATAATATAATACAATAAAATCGACATACCTCCAAGGCTAACAGTCAAGGTCATTGTCGAGGTGTCGAAAATATAAAACAATTCAACGCATTTCCTAATCCAGTCACATGCTTAGGCATTGCTTATCATACAGGAATATCGCAGCTATTTGACCATGTATATATTCTCGTTATGTATACGTTATGTATTTGCATTTCGCATGTGTTATTTCAACTCACTACATTTGTTTAACTACATTTTAACGATCCTAATTCGACTGGCTATTACATTTTTTTTCGCTTAATGATTGCTTTATGCTGGTATTATTTGTATAGCTCGACTACTTCAACTATTTTTATAAACGTAGTAATGTGAAGCTCCCTTAAATTAGAATTGATTAGACTTTAGTCAACCACCCTATTGTTTAGAACGCATGGATAGTTACTGACTGTTTTGTAATTTCAGAACACATTCACAAGTGACCCTATAACGTTCTGAAGTAATTAACTAATACTAATTAAGTTTTCAACTGACTGCAATTGACACCAGGAATATTTTTTAAGGGATAAAAAAATCACATTACGATCAATTCGAAGTTGTAGAGCTATAACAAAATTTAATAAAATATTTATTCGATCCCATTCGTTCATTCGTAATATCGACTCACCTGAGTTAGTCGTCGTCAGTCGCGGAATAACTGCTCGCAATTTCTGTATGAAAATCATTTAAATAATCATATATCAAATTTTATCGTCAGACTAATATTGCTAGGATATCGATAGAAAACATTATCTTAATTGGTTTTTTATAAACAAATCGATCTTTTGAAAATGTACTACGTAATATCATCAGATTGTCATAATCCATGAATCATCATGCTTTGATGATCAAAATGACTTTTAATTGACTTTTAAGACTTAAAAAAGCAGAATTTACGAAAAATCAATGAATAAATGTTAACATTGGTTTGTCTGTGGTTGTGTAGTAACAAATTTACAAGGATACTTAATGGGACCGAAAAATAAAAACGGAGGTACAAAATTAAAAAACTAAGTAAAGTAATTTATTAAATAATATCACAGTATAGCGGCGATAAGCCTCCAAGATTCGAAGTTGCTTAGGTGCGGGTTGAGGAATTGTTTTACATCGTCTTCATGCTGCGCGGCAATGTACTTGCTGAATCTAGTCAGATAGTCTGCCAACAAGTCTTCTATCATTGAGTTCAGGATGTCGTCGATGTTGCCGTCGAATTCTGTTCTAGACTGTAAAGATGATATACGGAATATTAGACTAGAAGTTACTAAGGCATTTTCGTTGAATATTATTAGGCCTCAAGTGAGGTGTAAATATTGGAAAAAGGAATTAGCCACCTGCGACTAAAATCATTGAAATATCGCCGCCATTTTTGTTATCTCATAGTGTAACGTTATCATAGTATTGATATAAATGTTATCAATATTGAATGATTAAATCACAGTCGGAAAATTATAAGACGTGTAAAATAGATAATAGAAACGATTAAGATTCTAATCAGTGTAGAACAAAGAGGAAAATCCGTAAATATCGTGTAGCTAGTGAAGTGTAAATAATCGATACTTTTAAAGTCAAGTCATCGCAAGTCGAGAGTATAACACAGCAGAAGTATTGAGCAAAAATAAAAGAAAATTGATCCTATAGGAAATGGAGAGGATCCAAGATACAGAGTCGTTTAATTAAAGAACAATAGACAATAGATGACCAAAAATTAATTTAAAAACGGGACATCGGATAGCCTAAGTTTATCATTTTTAAAAGTCTGCAATCATGACTTTTGCAACAAATCGATTATATTGTTTGAACACAGTGAGTATATTTAAGGCAATGTAGACGTTTATTCAGATATTTCTTGTAGATATGCGTGTAGTCGGCACTAGGTCTTTGTAGATTAGCTTCCTTACTGAATGTATTACATGAGAAGCTAATACTAATGCAGATAAACTTACCACGATTGTATCTACTTCGAATTGTGGCTTAACAAATCTTTCTATTAGTATGGATTTGCCGTCGGCAGATTGTCTTAGATATATTTTGCTTCGGAATATTAAATCGTGCACTTCAATGCTGCAAACAAACCAATCGAAAATACTTATGTGTTTATTTTATTTTCATTTTAAAATATAACTACCATCTTTTGAGCAATACTTAGTGACTAGAAAGAAAATATTATTCTTACTTTAGATATCCGTTTCCCAACAACGGGAAAATGCTGTAAAGATCGCCGGCCATTATATAATTCTCTATAACATACATAGACATAATTTTTAATACGACCTGAATTGTATGACGTCTATCACTACCAAAGGCAACAAAACGTAATTATATTGATATATTTAAATTATTATTAATAATTATAAGGAATTACAAAGTATAAATACTAACCAGAGAGCATAGTTAATAAAGGAAATCTCATATGCAACTCTAATGAGATCTCTTCCTTATCAAATGTCGTTTCCAGTATTTCAAAATCCGCAAGTCCAGAGACTGTCAGATTGGATAGTTCAGCTTGTATTCTAAAAAATAAAACTAAATTTTAAGCACAGATTTATTTACATAATGAACAACGAATTTAATTAGTTATACACTATTTAATTGACCCGATAAACTAAGAGACAATTCCTTCAGTTCCTTTGTGTAAATTTAGTATAAGAAATTAATCCTCGGTAAAGCATTTCTTTCACTACATAAGATTAACTGACTCTAACCGAATGTTTTTTTAAATCCACTTACGTAAAACCATTGCCAGTAACATTAATTTCCTGATAGTCCATTTTCAGTGGATCTAGTACGGGCACGTTGTTGGCAGCACTACCTTCTTTGATCAGTAGCCTTAGTAATTCGAATAGCTGTCTTAATACCGCATCTACTAGGAATCGGTTGCATTTTAAATTATTACTATCTGAAAAATATTTAAAAACAAAATTAAATTTGTTAAGAAATATGACTGAAAATGTCCCAAACTCGAAACTTACTGTTAAAGTTTAAATTTCAAGCGATTTATTTAACACATTTAAAATTATCGTTAAGATAGCATTCATAACGTACGTACCATCATTTTTGGCGACTGTAAAAGAAATCACAAGGAACAAAACTAATATAATCTTCATTTTACTTAAATCTAAAAATAAATGAAGTTGCCCATCGATATACCATATATATGAACGACTGGCCGTGGCTTTATTTCACTAATCTAGAGGATATCGATATCTGTGCTAAGGTTTCGAAACCAGGATTCTGTTATCGAATATAATCTAGGTCGTAAGTTATTGACCTAATTATTAATAAAAGTATGTTGTTTAATATTCGTATGCGGTCATTATTTTTATATGGTTATGAATGTTTGAGATAAGTTTATGGTCCTTAAATTCTAATGTTCTTTGCTATAATAACTAATGTGTAGGTTTTGACCTATTTCATTGTTTAATTATTTTTCAACAAGCAAATACTTTTTCTATGTGTTCATTACTAGCTATCAAGCGATAATCAACGTAAAATTTTCGCGTAGGTGAAAATGCCAAAAGTGATAATTTTATTAAATGCACTTTGGAGATTCGTTATAAAAATGCCAATTGAATTTTGAACCTCCCCCTTTTAAAGTCGGATAAAATACAAATGATTGATTTGCTCTCAACTATACAAATTTAATTAAATTAATTTTCCCATGATAAAGGATATTGACCGACAATAGCTGTATGGGTTTTTGTGTCCTTGACATAGTTACCAACGTACTGAATGTTCAAACTGTTAGCATATCGCCGCTCCCATCTTAGACTTCATCTATGGTAAGGTCACATTACTTTAGGCATCGTTACAATCGAGGCGAATTGCTGAAAAAGGGCCCCGGAGTTGTTTTATCTCCCGATTAAAAGTTTATTTATAACCCGTGACTCACAGCGCGAGATTAAAACTGTTTACACAAACTCTAGTTCAATGCCGTTCTATAGAAACACCAACGTTTAATCGTGACAGAACTTTGATTTTTACCGTAAATAATCTGTTAAAAATCGCCTAATATTTTTATAATTTGTCATTTCAGTGTTCACTATTAGTTTGGTATTTAAATAATTAATTTTACTAAAAGCAAGTTAAACGTTGATAGTGGTTCGCTACAAACTTTTGTTTCAAAATACGGTACGTGTTGTCGTTGCTAACATAAATATGCCTACACACAAATTATGTCAGTACAATAGCAGATGGATTGTTAACTTTAGATTTATTGCTGTGCATATTTATGTGCCACGGTTGAATGACTGTGTACAAGCGCCAGATGACAAATATCATTAAAATTTAAAAAAATATTAACAAATGCCACTTGAAGCAATCTATCTCTTGTATGGTAGGTTCATTAAATCCTGGCGCCATCCTTTAATATAATGTGTTTTTTAAAAAGATGCAATTAATTTTCGGTAATGAATTGTGTGGTAATTCGTTTCGGACTTACAGACTATGCTCACATTCGATGGGATATCGAAATTTATAGTGTTATAAATAGGTCGATGATCGTGTGGAGTGAGTGCGAGGGCACAGAGAGTCTGTGTAATTAAATTACATGTGCAATACAGACAGCTGATGAACGATTTTTTACGCTTCCCATTGCGTTAATTTCGGCAATTACCACTTCTGCTTGCTTCATTACAAATGTGATATCTTATTTCATTTCTTATTTAGGTCATCAGGCGTGTTAGTGATGACAGGTTGTTTTAGTTTTATTTCCAAACATCGACAAATTGGTGAACAATTTATTTGATAAGAACTTGCAGCTTCGTAGACGTCTAAAAAAGAAAAAAAAAGACGATAAATATTAATACCTGCCTGCTCAGTAACCTTAAGCATTTACTCTTGTTTACGCTGCAAAATTGCAAACGAGGAATTCCACGTTATTTCAATATATTCTATATCTGTTTCTTGTGTTCAACTTCTTTAATGATCATTTTATATCGATTCTTATAAGATAACTTAATTAAATTCTATTTCTATCCTCTAATCCCAAAAAGATTGCATTTGCAAATCTATAAAAATGTCTTAGCTTTGTTCTTATAATAAATATGTAAATAAAATCATGGTTTTACTAGACATAAAAACAAGGGTAGTGTATAAATAAAAGGTCTAGATAGACCGGAAATGAGACGGGAAATCAAACATTGAATAATACGAAACAAATGACAGCAAAAGTAGGAATAATTGCTTCAAAGCACAAAGCTTAATGAAAAGTGCATTATTGCATTCTATTGCATTTATGCTCTGATAAACTATTTTACTATTCAATTTGGCCAGGTACCCGATTAGTTTGGGCGGAATATTCGGTGGCAATCTATGGTACACTGCTATTTATTCTCCTCACTCAGATTTCGTCTCGATCAGTTCTCGCGCCGACCTCAACGACATACGTGAAGTGACGTAAAAGCCCGCCAACGAATTTTCGATATTTAAAAAATGTAATGTTTAAAATAATAAAAATAAATTAAATATTTTGGAACGTGTTTTGTACCAGTACTTTGATTTTATGTTTACGTGTTTTTTTAAGTATAAAATATGATTAAAATCATGTTTAGGATTGTAGTAGTTTTCATATTATTTTCGTACGCTATATTGAATACAGTTTTTGCAGCGCCTGCAAATTCTTACTGTAAGTAATTTTTTTAAAATTTCCTTATCAAAGTGGCATTGTCAAAATGTTTGAATATGTATGGAGGATAACAATGTTGATCGATTGATAACTAAGGGAAAAGTGGACACTTTATTTGTTAGTCGATAATTAAAAGATGATTTATGTTTGATTTGAAAGATAAATTGATCAAAATGTGATATTTATTAAAACAATCAATACTTGTCTCTATTATCAGTAAAACAAACCCGGATAAATACTGAATTAATCATATCAAAATCAAATTTACATTTTTACTGTACAATTAAAATAACTTAATAGTTAAGGATACAGACATCTGATCTCGTCGTTATGGGCTCAAATCCCACCATTCGACTAGAAATTAAAAATAAAACTTGCAGTAACTAATATCTTTCAAAATAGTTAATTATTTGATTAAAAGGATATTCAAAGCGCTTATTTATTACTAGTCTAACTTATTACCACAGAAAATTCTGTACTTGTAATCATTACAATTATTGTAAATGTAAAAGTTTGGATGGGTTGATGAATGGCTTAAATAGCTAAATGGATCTCGATGAAATTTGTCATAGATATAGAGGATAGTCTTTAAGAACACTTGGGCTAGTCATTTATTTTTTATTTCGCGCGGACATAGTCGCGGGCGAAAGCTAGTCTACAATACTATTTATGTGTTGAATGTCTTTGTTTGCAGTGCGTGGAACACACTACACGATTAGTAACCCTGAAAGTCGGAAGCAACCGTACATAGAGGTCCGCAACTCGACGTATCATGGTGCAGGGCCGCGGGAGGAAGCGCGCGCTATGTGCTCGGTGAAGACTCACGAAGTCAACGCCACTGCCAACGCTACCATCACTAGACGACTGCACGGAGTTGTCACTTCCAGTAAGAAAAGTGTCACAAAAATCAGAAATAAAATATTCAGTCACGCTTAATTGACTTACGACTTCATATAAGTTTAATAGCATACAATTTATATGGAGATTACAAAATGTTGGCCAATATTTGGATGTACTCTGACGAAATCCATTCAGATCAGTCGTCGGCATATCACAAGCGTAATGAACCATTATATAGGCGCATTGGTTACACAAGGATAGTGACTAATTGTTATTTGTTTTGTATTAAAAGATTTTATGATGTTCCCATGATCATATTTTGTTCCAAGTTTTAAAAACGACAAATTTTATATTTTCCCGGTTTATCGCACGATGATTCAATTTGATATCGCTTTATAGAAAAAAAAATGCATTTATTGCAAACTTTGAAGAATATCATAATTTTTCGTATTTCCCCGACCCATGCTGGTCATCCAAAGTTTGTCTATGTCGCAATATAAACACTTGTTTTTGTCCAGGGGAACTGCACTCTTCAATCCAGCGGCTGGAGGTGATCATCTTCGGCCAGATGCAGCAGGTGTGGTCGAGCCTGGACGCGCTGCGGGCGCAGCTAGCTGGTGCGGGGGCGGCACACTCATATCCTGACAGAAGAACCGTTTCATTCAGATTTAAACCTAACGGAATGTAATGATTGTTGTATTCATAAGTTTTGAAATTAAATAAATATGCTTTAATAATTAACATTGTTGTCTTTATTTCGATACTACTTTGGATATGATGATGATGAAATGTATCTTCCAGATATCCTTATCCTACTCCCGTAGGGTCGGGGAAACAGGTTTTTGTCCTCTACATAACTCTATCTTACGTCATCTCAGTCATCACTCCTTTTTTGATCATGTCACCTTTTACGCAATACATCCATCTCTTTCTAGGTCTACCTCTACCTGTGTTGCCTTCCACTCATAACTGACGATCTCCTTGCAACATTCCTCCCTCATAACATGCTCATACCATGCTAACCTTTTACATTTGGCAGTGCCAATTATAGAGAAACAGTTTATTTGTAATTTTTTTGTTTATTTTAAACTAGATCAATATATTAACTTTAAATCGATATTGCTAAGAAAAAGGAAACGCTGTAAGCTGTAAAGGAAGACAAGGTTGAAACAATAAAAGTTTTAAATTAAAATAAAGTTTTATTTATTAACAATTAGTAACTGAATGAATCAGCGGGTTTGCCCGCCGGGCGGGCGCGAGGCGGGCAATAACAATGAAACGAGTGCGTCCGTTAGTTACAAAAGTTAAGCCTAAACACTATATGAAGTTAATAAATATTAACAAAATAAACAAAATGTATATCATCTTACAATTACATCGGAATGTACTTCAGATAAAGTATTTCGAGTTTAAAAAAAAAATTGCAACAATACATCAATCTCTGCTGTTTTATTAAAAAAAACTAGATGTTTAATAGTAATCTTCAAAAAAAAAATTCATTCATCATTTAACTATTGAAACATTATATAACAGTGTTACCATGAATAATGAAAAAAGTACAAATCATTACAAAAATAAAGTTAACATAGCTATAAAAGATCAGATCTTTATGGTAGCAACACTACCCGATATCCAGACATATCCATTCCATACCCTGATATTAAGTTTATTATGCCGTATACCATTCGTAATGATATAAAATTTTAATTAAATATAATTTTTAAAGCTAAAGAATAAATAGGATACGATACAAAAATATACGAAATTATTTCAGACTTGTAAACGTTAATACAAAAGAATAGCGAAATACAAGATATGGCTGATAACTAAAAAGCAAGATTTGACAACAGATCCTACTAAATACAAGTTTAACTTTACAATGGCGGGCGATGGTTTATAAATGTTTCCGTTGGTGGTAGCTGCAAGCAACGGCGGATCCAGGGGGGTGCATGGGGGGTCATGACACCCCTCCTGAGCTGGTTGGTCAGGAGCTGGACAAAATATATTTACACATTTTGTCTTGACTTGACCACGATTATGTGACCCTTTGGCGTCAAATGTAGATCCGCCCTTGGCTGCAAGTGCACTTTTATCATAAACCGAGATATTAATTGGACAATTTACTTAAAGACATTTAAAAAAGTAGAGTAATAATGTTTCATTTTTTTTAATTCTAACATTTAAGCATAGGACAGAATACCCAAATGCTGTGATTAGTCTATTTCCAAACTGTTTTATACATACAAGTGGCGCCATCTATCTTAGCATTATCAAAATACGATAGAAGTTTTTAAACCACCGACCACTTTAAATGGACAGGCTATACGACGTGGTACTTTTTGCTATTTAATTCTGGCATTGACAGTTGTGACGAGTTGGTGAAAATTGGAAATTAGAATAGAGATAGAGAACTATCAACACCAACAGGTAGTTTAACAAAACAAAAAATATATGCCACCTATCCATTTATATAGATCAGTGTTTTAAACCTATTAAATTCGCCTATTAGATCGATAAATGGTTCGACTTGTCTATAGTGGCTCGGTTTATGGTGTTCGTAGGGCTAAGGGCTAAGGGCTAAGGGCTGGGGTTAGGGCGTGATGGACTGCAGGTATCTGCGCAGCTCCTCCTGCGTGTCGAAGATCATGACCGGGAAGGGTGAGCCGGGCACGTGGCGCCCCGCCCAGCGCACCTCCACGCGGTAGTCGCCGGGCTCGGTGGGGGAAAACTACACAAATTATATACTTAATTAATTAAAAAACATAAATAGTTAGCAACTAAAATTCAAAAGTAGTTATTGCCACGGAAACTTTGTAAGATCAATCAAAAGTGCTGAAAATATCGAAATACGTATTTCGTATGAGTACGTACGTACGAAATCTTATCAGTTTTTCACGTGAGTAAAAATATCATAAAGTATTCGCCAAGCTAAAGATTTCCTAAGTTTTTTTAGCGATTCATTGTTTTATAAATGATAGCTATTACTTGCGACTTCACTCGTGTAAAATTAAAAAAATATTTCAGCCTATGTTACTCACGAATACCTTTATAATTACCTTTCTAACGGGGAGATTTTTTAAAATCGGCCCAGAATTTTTTGAGTTATGTCAGTACATACAAAATACAAATCATTCCTCTTTCTATTTGTAAAGATTCTTGAAGAATAGAGAATGGAGTAAGCGACCATCCTCTATTAATGACATATTATGTTTATGTTGGTGCGAGGTTACCTTGCATAGTATAGTGCGGTCCTTCTGGCTCTCGCGCTGCATCTCGACGCGGAAGGCGCCCTTGGGCCCGCGCACGCGCACCGTCAGCTGGCCCGCGCCGGCGCCGCGCGTGTCGCACAGGAAGCGCGACTGGAACGTCGCCAGCACGCCCGGCTCCACGCCCGGCCCGTACACCCTGACCTAATACACAGCCGCGTTTCGTCTGATGAGTGTGGTGCCGGAGGCCCTTTTAGTCCCTCTTTATTACCACCTTTTTCATATCAGAAAAGAATGGGA